TGAAACCTGTACAATGGATAATTTTTACACAGATTTTATTAACTTGACTAAAGTTATCAGTAGCACTGTAGAGCTTATAAACTATCTACACTACATTATTGACAGTTACTCAAGTATACATGCTCACAATTTGCCTTTTTTCACTGACACATTCCTAACAGAACCCATATTTTTCTCTAAAAATCAACAAATGAAAATAATAAAATATAAAAGTCACTTTTTCAGGTTCTAATAAAAAATATTTACTGCATTGCGTAATAACTGAATAGTCACCATCATAATTCATTGATTCGCAAATTTTGTTTGCGTAGTATTGTTTAAAAGGATAAAATAATAAGGGTTGAGGACGTTTTCCACTGCTAAATACCAATAATCCACATACTGAAAAAGCAGTATCTTTTCTGCTGTCTTCATATATAGAGTATCCCTTTTTTTCTATTGCAGTCCATAGTCCAATTCCTCCATTTCTCTGACAATGACAAATTACAACCAATGAAATTTGCAACAAAACAAACATTTGAAAAACATAAACCAGAATTATTTACTTATTTTATATTAAGCAATTTATTGTAATTGGAAATTTTTGATATTATTTCAAAATGTCACTTTTTCTCAAAGGACTCTCTGTAAGGTGATTTTCCAATATTTTCCTCAACCTAAATGTGAAATAAGGGAGAAGTAGACATACAAAATATCCATAAGTGTGTCCAGGATTGTCATTTTATCAAAATGGGTGTGCACTTTCTTGATGAGTTTGGATTCTTTCATGTCAATACAAAAATAGTGATGTAATTATTTATGATGTTAATAAAAAATCAGAAAATTTTAAATATAAATTATTAATTATTTTTGCCTTTTGCCTAACCAAACTTATGAACCAGTTGGTTCATAAAGATGTATTCTTTGCGAAAACAATTAAAACCTAAATATGACAGCGATAAATGATAAAAAGATTCCTAATTAGAAAAATGGCATAGTATATTTATAATCAATGAACATTTTCTTATTCTGTAATTATCAACAAATGAATTCATGTTTTTCATGTTCATGCAAAAGAATAAAGGAGTTTATAATACTGTTGTTTCTATAAATAGAATTAAATTATAAAGTGATATCTGTTGGCTCTTTGAGGTTATTGTTTTTAAGGGGAACAACAGAAGTCGCCCAGGGCAGAAGTCGCCCAGGACAGAAGTCGCCCAGAAATTGATAGAAGTCGCCCAGAGCTGTGACAGAAGTCGCCCAGAACTGTGATAGAAGTCGCCCAGGACTATGACAGAAGTCGCCTAGAACTGTAGAAGACATAATGTGTTTGTTCTTTGTTTCTATTGATTTCTGACAATTGAAATATATAATAAGTATTAATAAATATAGAATGCATCATTTAATAATAACTAAATAGTGAATGAATTAAATAATAAAATACTGGCATTCTGTTGAAGGTTTCACATAAATATCATTTATTTGCTTAAACTTGTGCACAAACTTGAGGTTCTATTTGGATCAGTACAGCAGAAAATTCCCACAATCACAATACAAAGTACAGTATTGAGTTTTAAACTAAAAATCTTATGCATTTCATTTAATTTATTAAATTTGTTTCTACATTCAAAGCAGAATTTTGCCATGTTCATCAATATTAATGGTACCCACCACATGATGCTAGAAGTAGTAGAGTAGATGTTGCCTCTAGGGTAGATGGTACCGAACTACCAGAATCAAGCCCTTTTATAGGCAAAAGATAAGATATTACATAACCAAACATGTTGACAACAACACTACAAAGTACAGTAATGAGTTTTAAACTACAAATCTTATGCATTTCATTTCATTTCTGAGTAGAGTTGACAACATTTTTCCAAAACTTGTGATGAAGTCATCTGATGAGCTTCAAATTTCTCCCAAATTTTAAATATTTCATTCTGCATATTTTTATATTGTCTTCTTTGATATCTTAATATCTTTCTCTCTGATAGCATTCTTTGATATGCTGGGATAAGATCTGCCTCTCGTTTTAATTCATCTACTACCAAATAGAATGAAGAATTTGCTCTTAAATTGCCATTTAGCCGATTATGGAACCCCTCCACATCATTATTAGTTCTAATAGCATTTTTATAAATTGACCATTGCTTTGGTGACCAAATTCTATCCATCATCCAATTCCTTTCAAAGTACTTTATTAGATCACCTAGTTTTTTTACTGATTGAAGGTAATCCTTAATTCTTCCAAATTCTATTGGAATTATGTGAAATGGAAGAAATGGTAATGCCATAAGCTGCCTCATTTCAAACCACTGTCCTCTTTTTTTTTTAAAGTCTGATGAATATCCAAGTTCCTATTAAAACAAAAAATGTAGAGTAAATCATCTTATATAAAAATAGCCTCATTTTCACCTGAATTTTTCTGTAAACAGCTTGATTCCAATGGAATAAACAGCCTGTTAGTGTAACACTTTCCCAATTGTCTAATGCAGCTTTCCATACTGCTCTTTCATAGTCCAGAACAATTTTCTTTGGTGTTTTGTATTCCAAAAGTTCATTTAGTGTCTGTTAATAAAATGTTATTTACTTTGAAAAAATTGTATTTTTATAAATACCCTTACCCTAAACAAAATATTGTATGCTTTTTTCTTCTTTGATGTCATAAAAGCAAAGAGTAGAGGAACTTGTTTTAATGCTCCCTCTTTCTTCAAAAATGAATGAATAGAAAACAGCTGTTTGAAAGGTTGTTTTACAATGCTAAAAGTTCCATCCACATACCAAATTTTTGAAACTGAAAGCAGATTGAGTTGCTTCAATGTGGAGAAAATAATGATTCTTTCACCATTTTCAAAAATATCTTTTCTTAAAAAATCATCTGGTATGAAAGTATTATTTAAAAGAAAATTTCTTCCAATAGGTTCAGTAGGCTGAGTTTTTCTTCTATGGTAATTAATCATTTCTTTACAAGTATCTACCTTCAAGATATTGCCCATATTTGCATATGGGAGTATAGCATTTTCAGCTAATCTTTTTCCACTTACATTAATATTACATTTTCCACTTTGTTTTGCTGTCAGTTTAATTTCAATGTTTTGCTCTAAGTTTTTTTTAGGTGGATGAATGTGTGATTTAGAACCTAAGTGAAAATTGCTACCTCTTTGAATTATACTGGCAGGGCATCTGATTTTCTTGTTCCTGACACTACATATCCAAATAGTACTACTTTTGTACTGTCCTTTTATAGTAAAAGAATTATTAGGGGTCGGGTGTGAACGTACCTGGGTGCGAACGTACCCGGGTGCGAACGTACCCTGGGCGGGTGCGAACGTACCCTGGGCGGGTGCGAACGTACCCTGGGCGGGTGCGAACGTACCTGGGCGACTTCTATCAATGTCTGGGCAACTTCTGTCCTGGGCGACTTCTGCCCTGGGCGACTTCTGTCGTATTCGTTTTTAAGCTCTGCAAATACCCTTAATGAGTAAAAAAAACTACTGTGTTTCATGAACTTTAGGCCTATCATTCTTCTTACATAAGACTAAGTATTTGTCAGTAAATTGTTTTAGAAAATTACCATAATATTTTTAAATATGAATAATAGCAATGCTACCAAAATTTATTACGAGGACGCTAGAGATTGGTTTTATGGAAGACAATCTGTTGGATCTCTTCTTGTCATTATGGGTATCTTTGGTAATGTTTGCAGTTATGCAATATTTGCAAAAAGTTATATGAGTGGAACAACAACATCAATCTATCTTCGAGCTTTGGCTTTGGCAGACACGCTAGTTCTTATTGTTATGTTTACATTAAATTTCTTTTATACATTTGAAGGAACATTCTACAGTAATGCGAAGATAGTTTTATATGTGGTTTGCATGAGTAAAAACTACTTTTCCCAGTTTTCAAAGTAACTTAGCGTATTATTTCTGTGTTCTATCACAGTTGATAGGAGCATTTACATTCTATTGCCGACAAGAGCACAAAGTCTAGTGAATAAAAACAGAACTTACCTTATTATTCTAGCTATAACCCTCACTGCAATGGCAGCTAATTCTGTGTTTTATCTAATGTACGACAGAGTCTGGCTGATAAGTAATAAATCAATAAATGGGCGGGTATGATGTTTTGTGTGGCAAAGAGTAAAGACTGTGATTATTATTGAAAAAAAATCACACCAACATTGGAAATAGTCTTTTCTACCTTTATACCTGGAGTTATCCTTGTTATAACTAACATCCTAATACTAAGAGCTCTTGTCAGTGCAGGAAAAGAGAGACAAAACCTTTCTTCTACCGCAAATTCCAAACAATCCGATAAAATGAGAAATTCTTCAATTATCCTAATAATGATTTCCATATATTTTATTATCTCTTCAGCCCCTAGCTCTGCATTGTTTGTCTATGTTAGATATATTTTAACAACTTCAACAATTGATGATGCACTCTTCCTAAAGAAGGCTGCCCTATTCTGCGAATTGACTGCCAAATCAAATCATGAATTTAATTTCTACTGTTACTGTTTAAGTGGTAAAAGATTTCGGCAAGAATTTTTCAAGCTATTTAACAAAAACAATCAATTATCCAAAAGTTCAATGGCCGAAACCTCGTTGACAACAGCCAACACTAGCAAAAGCTTTAAAAGCACTGGAATGTAATAACAGGTGTTGTACAACTTTGGTTATATTTTACATGCTTGAACTCTATTATTTTATGCAACATATACATGTACATCTTAAAACCTACGCAAGAAAATGCTATAACATTGGCCAAACATAAGTCTGATTAGTCAGCTTGAAGGCTCATCTTTAATTACTAATAAAGGTTTGGTCAAGTTATAATCTAATTAACTTGCCTAGGGTGTGGCATAGTTATAATTCAATTAACCTTCCTAAATGTTGAACCTTGTAACATCCTGTTACTACAGATAAATATGAACTACACATTTTGGCAACTGTAAAGTGATGATTGGATGTCAGAGGCAAATCTCAGAGTAAATAAATCTTCATTATTCTCATTCGGCATGCAGCTTCCATCTGGACCCAAGGACCTGGGAAGATCATCTGGAAACAACCTCCCCTGGAACCCTCCATCTACTCCTCCACATTGGAAGACAGTTTGGTAATTTGGCAACCTGCTATTACGAACTATCTACTCTGCTATTGAACTCTCATATTGTTACTTGCTTAAGTATTATTATTGCAAATAAACTGTTTTAATTTAAACATTTGTTTAAAGGTTCGAGTAGAACCAGTATTGTTATAACTTGCAAATGCATAAATTTTGCCAGCAAGAGCAGTTCAAATTTGGTGCAGTTGGCAGGATATTCTTTTGGTTTATTCAAAAGTTTTGAGAAAGTAAATATGGCAGAAGGAGGAAATGGAAATGCCACTGGGGCAGTTACAGACTCTAACCCTTCAACCCCAGCAACTCCAACAATTACAATTCAGCCAGCAGAAATGCCAGAAAGGCAACAGAGACTAATTGAAGACTATGATAGATTGGTGAGTGAAATGAAAAGAAATCGAATCACAATTCCAACAGATCATGGAGATGGAACACATCACCCAGCACAGAACCCAAATGTTGATATCACAACAGTAATTTAAGCATTAAGGGCTGCTTGGGACCGCCCTCAAAGAACTATTCTCAAGTTGTATGATGGAAGCAAGGAGTGTTCAAAATTCAAGGAAGACTTTAATCAGGCATGTTATGCTTATGGTTGGATTGGTGAAGATGTTGTGAAGATACCCATAAAAATATTAGGTTTTTTTAATTTTATTATTTAGAATTATAATATTGGAACCTACAAAAATAAAAACACTGTTGAAATATAAACTGGCAGCCATTTTAAAAATGAAGGAACTGAAGGTAACTTTCCCTTTGGAAAGAATTTACTTTGAAGAATTTTACTTTTTACTTTTGATATTTCTAGCGTTCCATCTGGGCAATTTCTAGTAGCAATTGTTTCAGGTAAAACAATTACAATTACAAGTTTTTACCCAAAAAACATGGTGATTAAAAATATTGATCTTCTCAACAGTGACAACAGTAAATCCTCCAACATATTCTGAATTATTATATAACAATGTAGTTGATTCAGTGGTACTCTCATCAATTCCCAATGATTCAAATTATTTTACAAAATTGGCTGAATGGAACTCAAATGTTCTTATGGCTACTATTTCTTTTGCATATTCAAAATGTTTAGGAAATGATAAAAATAATCCAAACCAATGGGTATCAACCTCAGCAACCCCTAATGCAGAAAATAACTGCCCTCCTGGTATGATCAAAATAATTTCTTTTCCTTTTATTTATATTTATTTTGACTCTTTCTTTTACGCAATAAACCCAGGTGGAAATGGTGATCCTCACTTTACACAAAATGTTATTGATATAAAGACAAAACAAATTGTTGATATTTGTTATGATATTATTGGAAAAAGTGGTCAACATATATCTATTCTACATCATAATTCAACCAATACAATTGTTAAAGGTGTTCTTAAAGATGATTATTACATGCAAAAGATCATTATCCAAAGTAAAGTTGGTACAATCATCATTGATGAATCATTTATTTTTGTCAATGAACAAAAGTTTCTTTGGACTGATTTTAAAGAACTTAAATTTGATTTTAGGGTTAGGTTAGGGTTAGGGTTAGGGTTAGGGTTAGGGTTAGGGTTAGGTTAGGGTTAGGTTAAGGGTTAGGGTTAGGTTAGGGTTAGGGTTAGGTTAGGGTTAGGTTAGGGTTAGGTTAGGGTTAGGGTTAGGTTAGGGTTAGGTTAGGTTAGGGTTAGGGTTAGGTTAGGGTTAGGTTAGGGTTAGGTTAGGGTTAGGGTTAGGGTTAGGGTTAGGGTTAGGGTTAGGGTTAGGGTTAGGGTTAGGGTTAGGGTTAGGGTTAGGTTAGGGTTAGGGTTAGGGTTAGGGTTAGGGTTAGGGTTAGGGTTAGGTTAGGGTTAGGTTAGGGTTAGGGTTAGGGTTAGGGTTAGGGTTAGGGTTAGGTTAGGGTTAGGGTTAGGGTTAGGGTTAGGGTTAGGTTAGGGTTAGGTTAGGGTTAGGGTTAGGGTTAGGGTTAGGGTTAGGGTTAGGTTAGGGTTAGGGTTAGGGTTAGGTTAGGGTTAGGGTTAGGGTTAGGTTAGGGTTAGGTTAGGGTTAGGGTTAGGGTTAGGGTTAGGGTTAGGGTTAGGGTTAGGGGTTAGGGTTAGGGTTAGGGTTAGGGTTAGGGTTAGGGTTAGGGTTAGGGTTATAGGGTTAGGGTTAAGG